TTTTTCTTCTTAACTTTGTGGCCTTGAGCAAGTGCCTTGACATCTCTGTACCTGTTTCCTCATCTGTAAAATGGGGCTAATAATAATATATCATGGGACAGCTGAGAATATTAATGAGTAATAAATTATTTTAAAGTACTTGTCACAGTGCTAAGTTATAATAAGTGTAAGATAGCCGCTAGCTACCAGTATTACTGCTGATATCTACAACCCTTTAATGACTACTTACTGCATACCAGGTACATTGCTAAATGCTCAACATACAATGTCTCATGTAATCCCCATGACATGTTACCCCATTTACAGATGAGTGGATTAGAGTTGGGAGAACAGAGGAGGATTTTCCCTGAAACTGATGAAGCTGAGCTTCAGGGCCCCTCCTTTAACAGATCCCTGTGAGAGCTGGGGGTGCGAGGAGGTGCAGGGGGCAGGAGAAGCCAGCCTGCAGTCAGAAGCACTTCTATTAAGCAACTCTGGCAGTTGCCTAAAGAGATCTCAGAGAAAGGGATCTGAATTACCAAGGCCTCAGTAAGTTGTCATAATCTTTATCATTCTAAATGTTCACTTCGGGATCTAATTTTGTAAGTTTTTTCTTTTCTTTAAGAGGGTCCTTAAGTTTATGAGCTTCAGGTCTCCCAAACTCAGATCTTACTCTTAACAGAGGTGCATCCGGGCTTACTTTTAATCTCTACACCGTATTATGTCCTTGCTAGATTGATTTAAGATCATAAAGTCACTTTATAATAAAGGAATGGAGAGGATCCTCAAACTGAAAGGCTCATGGTAGCAGGGGACTAGACTGTCTTGCTGCCTGCGTTTAGTAAGGCATAATGGTTTGGTGAAGTGTTAATGGGCTTCATTAATATATGTTTAAAAAGTCTTGCAAGTAACCTTCCTTTCTCTTATGGGGAATAGTGGTTTGATGTCTCTTTTATAATCTATGAATCTCCTAGAAAAGCAGTAAACTGGCAATATATTTCTGTGCTCTATTATGTTTGAACCTTTGGTTTGCAAGAGTGATTTCAACATAATTTTCCTTTTGCAGAGCATGACTGCTGAAGCAAAGCAAAACCCAAAGATAAACAGCCTTCGTAAGTTTGGCCACGATAGATTTTCCAAAGCAAAGAATAAAACATCAAAATGTCCGCTCAGTGGTTCCTTGTCCTTAAGAATCCTGGGGAGAATCAGATCACCCGAAATAGAAACTCTGCTATTTTTATACCCAATTGCAAACTGGGAAGTCGCCAGGCTTTCATCTCAGCAATGAGTCTTCCTAGGAACTGGGTCTAGAATTTATTTACACTCTGGGGGAAGGTGCATTCTGAGTCATTTCAGCTTTTGGTGCTTTTCCTTTTTTTTGAAGAACCTTTGAAATTACCTTTTAATATCTCTGATCTCCTCCACCTAGAAAGAGAAGGTGGTAGAGGAACGAAGTTGGCAAGAACCTCCCACCTTTGGGCATCACTAGTATTAATCAAATGGACAATGAGACGTGTTGGCTAGTGAACTATGCCACGCTGTGTTTGTTTGCAATTCAAATCGACGCCTGGCACTCCCCAAAATGGGGAGCTGGGTGCAGCCACTTTGGACCAATTTAAAATCCATCTCCTTGGCAGGCAATGCCAAAATAAAAAACCGTGCACCCACTTTTCAAGTTACCATATGGTAATTACCCTTTGTTTAATGCAGAACATTGTGTGAAAACACACCCTCTTCACACAGAGGCCATTGATCTATCACAGAAAAGACTTGGGAAGTCTCTTGGCCACCAACTACCATCCCTTCGTATGGCCCATTCTTTTTTTTCATGGATGACGAGGGGAAAGGCTTAATGGAAATGTTACATAAACAGGTTCCAATATATTCTCGTATATGCACGTTGTGTACACATGCACACACATAACCTATCTCCAAAACGCAGTGAGTCAGGGAACATGAAAACAACCTGTGTCAGAAGCATTTATTCAAATTCATTCACCAGCAACACTAAACCACTTTGACTATCGGTAGAATTCCAAATGGCTTTAGAAACTAGGAGTTTCTCCTAGAATTGCTGCAACGGACGACAAGGTCGAATCCTCTGTTGCCGATCAATCTGATGGAGTAGAGGTTACAACACTGACTCATTTATTGGGGGTGAATGAATAAAGTTGTATCTGAGGGAAGGAATCAGAATCAATGTGATGTGAATCTAATCTCGTGCCAAGCAAGCCGCTTGTTTCTGGTTTCTATTAATATGGGATGCTAGGAGTTATAGGAGTCAGGATAGAGCTGGGCAAGCTCTGCCAGGTAGTTTCTCTGTCCACCTTGGTGTCTTTGTTTCACAGAGTGCAGTGAGTGCATCCAGGAAAAGTGCGCAGAAAACAAGGCACAGCCTGGGTCTGGGGAAGCTGCCCTCTATCCTGTTTCACTTCAGGGAAGAGAAAGGCACAGAGGTCTTTGTTGTTGTTGTTGTTGTTTGCGTTACACGGGCCTCTCACTGTTGTGGCCTCTCCCATTGCGGAGCACAGGGTCCAGACGCGCAGGCTCAGGGGCCAGGGCTCACAGGCCCAGCTGCTCCGCAGCATGTGGGATCCTCCCGGACCAGGGCACAAACCTGTGTCCCCTGCATCGGCAGGCAGACTCAACCACTGCGCCACCAGGGAAGCCCTGTTGTTATTTGACTGTAGCCTCCAATCAATTCAGAGAAGTAGAAAGGAGACTATAACAGGCTAGCCCAAAAGGCATAGAGAAAATGGCTTAAAAACAGTTAATACACTTAACTAAATGTCAACTACCTTTTGAAATTAAACAAATAGGTAGGTTGAAACATTTACTTAACCATTTGGCATGTACTAGCTGTTGCAAATTAATGAAATAGCTTTGCTTCTTAAACAACAGGGAGTTTCCAAGTGGCAAAATTATAAACAATTCCAATTAAGAAAAAAGAGAGAGAGATAGTAAACTCTCTTTGCTCAGTTCAACAGGTATTTACTGAGCTTTTATGGGTTACTCTGTGTCCTAATTTTAGTTTCAGGCCATGTTTGATCTTTGGGAAATTGTAACATCTAAATGTGGGGACTGCCTTTACTCCAGTATAAAGAGTTGAAAATTCACAGTTATATAAGGTGGTGAATTTCTTCACTAAGGAGGCCACAAAGCAGGGGGCCCTTTGTGACCTTTCTTCCTTCAATGACAATACTTTAATTCCTTTAGGATGAGGGTAATATTTTCCCTTTCAGGAACAGATCCACTGTAATAAAGATTATTCATTTATTCATAAATAATACTTAATGAACATATACAAAATCACTCCTAGGTACTCCATATCTGTCTTTTACAAGGTTTCTGTAAGACTCAAATGGGAAATCTATGTGACTCTACTTAAAAAATGTAAATTGCTATATAGAAATACTATTTTTATTTCATACCTGAATGAGTCACAAATACATTCAATTGCTCCCAAATATAGCAAGTTACAATTATCTGGGTCTATTTTCTTAAAGTTGTAATAGCAGCTACCACTTAATTGAGCTACAAGTGCCAACAGCATGCTATGTGCTTTATAACATTGCGTTTAATCCCTACAATAACCTTAGGAGGTGGGTATTCTCTACCTCCTAGAAGATGAGGAAACATGAGGTCAAGTAATCTGATGAAGGTCCCGTAAATAGACAGAACTGGGATTTGGATTCAGGTGTATCTGTCTGTGAACTCATTCTATTCTATTCTGTACATTTATTTTTATTGATGATGTTCTTCAATTGTATTAGAGTCAAGCCACACTTACCATTATGAAAAATCAAGCAGTTTCAAGACTACCAAGTAGGATTACAGCTTCTTCTTGATCACCGAGTTGTCCGTGTGAACAGCAGTCATGGCTCTGGGCTTCGCCCCGGTTGTCCCTAAAGCAGGCCGGGCCGCTCACCTGTACTTCATTGCCTAATACGACTTTTGTCTTTAACCATGTGGCTTTTTGCCTTTTCCCTTTAACCTGTCACTTCTTTCTGATGTTCTTGTGCCTGTAATGTGCTGTGGACTAAAAAACCAAATAACCAAACGTACTGGGAGGTCTCTAGGGCAGTGGTTCTCAAAGTCGTGTCCATACCCCACCTGGTGAGCTAGTTTAAATGCAGATTCTTGGGTCCCATCCCCAGATGTGCTCATTCAGCAGTTGTGGGAGAGTGAGACCCAAGAATTGCTGCCTTAGGAGTAAAGAACACATACTTCATGACTGTGAGAAATTTATTCTCTAAGTAGCATCGATATTTGTTAACTTTCCAATGTGCACCTTGGGCCTGGATAGTTGAGATTCCTGGAGATACACACATGGCAGAAACCTGCTACTTGAGAGGCTACCTAATTTGAGTAACTGAACTTCATTTTTTCCCCTTACTTTATAAAATGCTAGATTTATTCAATAAAACAGCGACAAAAGAGCCTGAAATTACCACAAAAATGATCCTCCCCGCCACAAATCTTGCTTTAGTCTGTCAAAATTCTAGGTTTCTTTCTCCTTAAAGGGCATGAGTGTGAATCCTGGTGCTTGGCCAGGTACCTGACTCCTGACAAACACCTAACCCGTGTGAGCCGCAGTCCTGCCCTCATCTTTAAAGTGGAGAGAACGGTGTCTACATCTCAGGATGGTGGGAGCTTCAGAAAGAACGCATAGAAAGTTCCTGGTAAGTAGTCGACATGTGGTCACATTTTAAAAATGAACTTCCTATAGGAATTCTAGCTGTAACTACCATAAAAGTCTGGTGGCTCTTTGAGAGACCAGATTTCATACATATATACCCCAATGTAATAGAGATGAGCACAGTGCCACATCCTCCTGCACAATCTAAATAAATATAATTTGCATCTTGTGGCCCACTGTTCTTACTTTGGCTGGGGACAACAGGCCTGGAAGCATCAATTTCCATGCCGCACTACAGGGGATGCGAAGATTAAAATATCAGAGACAAACCCTAAATACTGATAATGAAGTGTTATTACCTCAGTGGAAGAAACAGGCATACTAACATGAAAAAACACATTTTATTGCACTTAAGTTATAAGAAAATAAAATTTCTAAGTGAATCAAACCATAGACACAATCCCTTTAAAGGTTGTTTTCCTCCATCATGTCAGGTTGTTACATAACTAAAATTAACCAACTTGAATCTGATTGTTTTAAATCAGACTATAAATAAAACAAACAAAAAAAATAAACAGGAGGAGGAAAAAAAGATCACCTAGGATACAGTGTTAAACCACTTTCACAGTTCAGCTTGAGTTGTGGCTCTTGGAGAATGAGGCAAACCATTTGACTTTTTCATTCATTTTGCTTGTTTGCATGTGACGCCTTTACTACAAAAACTGGATAGTTTCTGCTTTGTCAGTTACTCAGAGCAATAAAACTGTAACAGTTGTTTTCCCAAATACTGTAAAACACTAAGACTGACCAGCAACTTTATTTTAATTTTGTGTTTTATATAGTTTTAAAATATTTTGTCAGTTTTATTATGTATGTTCATCCATTCACCACAGCCCTCAAAAAGAAAAGTTTCTCCGCAGAACAGGCGGCAACAGCTCTGTTCCAAGGAATGTGTTTTAATTTTTGCCCAGATAAAAGAAAATAAGCTTTGCACACACTCTCAATTCTTTACTTGCAGGCAAACTTCACTCTTTATTTTCTGAAACTCTCCCATTCTCAGCCTCTTAGAGGCACAGATGGTTCAAGTTTCAGTGGCAAAAAGTCTTTTTTTTTCCGTAACCAAACTAGAGCAAATTTGGAATTCAGTCTGGGACTAAAACGTCACAGCAGAAAAAAAATAAAAAAAAATAATTTGCTTTTTTTTTTCTTTCTTTCATTTAGCAGCATAAATAAGTTTGGCCACTGGGAGTACAGTACAGGGGTGGGACACAATCCCATATTTGAAGACCTACTTCTAGCACCAGCATCAAGAATTAAATCCATCTCGGGACTCACAGAACCCAGGACAACTTGCCACCTTTGAGCAACACAGGCATTGCAGAGTGTATGTGGAAGCGACAGGAATAGATTAACAGAGGCTAATACTGTGATTGATTGACATTGGCAATGGTTGGCAAAAAAAAAAAAAAAAAAAAAAAAAAAAAAAAAGCTTTTCATGATAACTGTACAAAAACAATTCACAGTAATTTTTTTCCTTTTTAGCTTTTCCGCTCCAGAAAAATGACTTTTTGTTGCAGATGCTCTCTGGTGAGAAAGTCCACCGGTACTGTGTGGATGTTACTGCAGCTTCTTTCTAGGTCTCAGTGGTAAAAGAACAGGCTAGCAGAATCTGTAACGACATCTCTGCAGTAACGCTGCCCAGCGACCACTGGAGAAGAAAATAAAGAAATAATTGCACCTGGTTTGATTTCGAAAGTCTCGTTTTGCAAAGCTGCCCTCAGTCCAAAGTGAAGCTTTTTCCGGGATGAGCCGGCAGGCGCCTCTCTTGTCAGTTGCGGTTTGTCATCGCTTCCTCTTTTCCTTCTGAGTCTGTAGGTCTTTTCGCTCTGTTGCCCCAAGCCAACATCCTGCACCACTGAGAACAAGGGATTTTTTTTCTTTTTCTTTTCTTTTTTTCTCTTTTTTTCTTTTGCAGGGGGAAGGGCAGGGAGTATGTCGTCTACATGTTGGGACGATGCCACCTTTCCTGCTCCTCACTTCATGTCCACATCAAAGTCCAGCACCAGCAGCTTGGTTTCCTCCGTCCCGTTGCGACTCCCTACTGCACACACCAGCTTTGTGTTTGAGGCTCTGATCCGCCACACAACTCCCCCACTCCCCCCACTCTCCAATGTGACTAGGTTGCGAATAAATTCACCCGTTTTCAAGTCCCATAGTTTTACAGTTCCATCATCTGAGCTGGTAATTACAAAGTTCTTGTTGAACTGTAAACAGGTCACAGCACTCTGATGCTTGTTGGGACCTAGGCAAAACCAAAGGAATTTCGTTACTGGTTAGAAATCATGACTAAGGGTCAGTTATACTGTAATTTGTGGAATCTATATTGGAACACACAATAAATGAAATATTTAAAACGCTGCACATTTAGAAACTGTGTTCTGAGTATTTTAGGATCGGCAGGGATGTAAGAAAATCTGGTAGCTATTTGTAACTGAAACGTTAATCTCTGAGGGTTCTGTGTTCCAGGAAGTGTGGTTAGCTACCAGGCATACATTTTGTGTCCTGGTTGCATGAATGAGCACTTCTCTCGGTGGTGATGTAGATAGTACCAGCATCACATATTCTGCTCATGGACAATCTACTACCCTACCACTCTGAGCTAACCAGTCAAAGGCAAAGGCTGAATGGACACTATTCCAAAACTCTGAGGAAGAGACAAAATCAATGAGTAAAAAAGCTGCAGTATAGCCCACCAGATGGCCTCAATGACAAAAGCACTTTCTAAGGGCTATGACTAATAAAAAGAAGTTAATCATGATATAAGAAGTTAACACTGCTGTGCCTCATTTAGTATTAGCGGCTTTCACATGTTTCTTCCTCTAGTTCAGTGGGCACTGTGAATCCTTCCCATCCTACTTCCACTCCTACTCAAGTCAGAGTGGAAAGGCTCATAAACTTATCCAAAATAAGTTTTCATTTTGTATGAGGTTAATTCTTTCTGTGACACAAAAGCTCCATATTTCTCTTTTGACCAACAATCTCATTTTTAAGGAACACAACTAAAGGTGGGTAGCCAATATTTACCTTGCAATGTTTGTAAACACTGTCCTGTTTTGATATCCCAGATTTTAACTGTAGAATCTGCATTCCCAGAGACAAGAATGTTGTCTTTGAGTTCCATGCCGCTTGTTAATGACTGGTGTCCTGTTAACGTGTGAATGCAATTCCCTGTCTCCACATCCCAAACTCGGATTGATGTATCAAGAGATCCACTCACCACATGGATGCCATCAAACTACAACAGACACAGTTTATTAGACTAGAAGTGTACATATTCTTGATATTATTTATTGACCTTAATCCTAAAAGGGGATGGGAGTAAAGCATGAGAACAAAATGCCAGGAACAAAATGAGGTACAAGACAAAGTGCATGCGATCAAGCAACTCTACAGGGCATGTTCTCAGAAGCTTCTACCAGAAATGCTAATTTTTTATGGCCAGTGGCTTCAAACTAGATGCAGAAACAATTTTCAAAAAAACACCTAAAATGAACATATTATTTTCAGATTATCTGGCCACACTTACTAGCTACATATCATGCATGATTCAGTACGGATTGCCATTTGAGTTTTACTTCCCAATAGGAAGCTAAAACTGCTGACGTGGTTTATGAATAAAGGGTGTGCTTATCAACACCTATGGCATGAAAAGGGCTGGAGATAGCTTTCATGATACTTCAAAGTAAGTTCCATTAAAAATTGTATGTAAAATAAAAATTTCATTTACAAGAACCTATTTAGGAAATGTGCCAACAGATAAATTATATCTGGAATTAGAAGTGGTGGCATTTTGAGAACAAAAGCAAACTATATACAGCATCTCTTCTCCAGCTTCCCAGCTATACCCAAAGTCAACAAATATCTACCAATTCCCAGATCTATAATAATGTTACCACCTATTTCCTCAATCTAATGGCTTATTTAAATAAGATTATTATATTCATTAAGGTTTGAACATATCACAAAACATACAAACAATTGCAGCCAATTCCCTCTCCTCCAAATTCATAACCTTTTCTAAGTTAACAGACATCTTTATTATATGTCAATATTTCATGACATGGACAGTATTCCATCAGTTAAGATACAAATACCCCAACGACAGAACTGTGAGCCCTGGGACTACATACTGATTTGCTGATTACTAACGGGCAGTAACTGGTAAACAAGCTATGTAAGTAATAGGAAATACAGCTGACCCTTGAACAACATGGGTTTGAACCGGGAGGGTCCACACCTATACTCAAATTTCTTTTGCTAAATACCTACTACACAATCCCAGGTTGGTTGAATTCTTGGATGTGGAACTGCAGATACTGAGGGCCAACTGTAAAGTTATTCGAGGATTTTCGACTGGAGTTGGGGGTTGGGGGGGGGTGGTTGATGCCCCTGACTCCTAAGTTGTTCAAGGGTCAACTGTATTTTTTAATTGAAGATGTTGTCTTTCACGAAACGAAACAAGATCTGTTTTCTAAACTTGCTATTAATCTATTTATTTATGTCAAAATATGGCAATCTATTCTAGGATATCAGGTTCAAAGGAAAACAAACCAAAAATCAGTTTAAGTCAAATTTACTTCTTCATGACTACAAACCAGCAGCCCTGTGACGGCAGAGCAGCTTTGTGCAGAAAGTTCCACTTCCACTTTGAATGGGGACGGAATCACAATTACATGGTCCATCAACTTCCAGCTATCAAGGCAAAGGGGCAGCTTTTGGCCAAATTAATCCTCTAAGGAGTTTATTAAAATCCAGGTTATTCTCCTATGAGACTCTCTACCCATTAATTAACAGCAAAATTTAGGGCCCCGAAGTCTCAGGTTCCAAGACAAATATTTGTATTTTAGAGGGAAATCAATCACAGAGAAATTGAAACAAATCATGTAAATAATTTCAAAATTTATGCTTTCTTCATGCCAATGTTAAAGTATATGTAGGGACTTCCCTGGTGGCACAGTGGTTATGAATCCACCTGCCAGTGCAGGGGACACGGGTTCGAGCCCGGGTCTGGGAAGATCCCACATGCCACAGAGCAACTAAGCCCATGTGCCACAAGTACTGAGCCTGCACTCTAGAGCCCGCAAGCCACAACTACTGAGCCTGCACCCTAGAGCCCACGAGCCACAACTACTGAAGCCTGTGCCTAGAGCCCATGCTCCGCAACAAGAGAAGCCCGTGCACCGCAATGAAGAGTAGCCCCCGCTCGCTGCAACTAGAGAAAGCACGCGCACAGCAACGAAGACCCAATGCAGCCAATAAATAAATAGTTTATTTAAAAAATAAAGTATATGTAAACAGCAGAATAATTTGATTCATCTGTTTTTTGGACTGTATTGGATCAGCAATCTGACAGTGATTATGAGTAAGACAACCTTATGACTCATCAATATAGCATCTCAAGAGCAGGAGAGATAGGTCTCTTACCTGTAACGAGTAGACCCTGTTGGTGTGCCCCTGCAATGTGTGCAGACAGGTCTCTGTCTCTGGGTCCCACACCTTCACCATAAAGTCATACGCTCCACTCACAACCCTTCTGCCATCATATTGAACACAGCGGACCGCTGCTACATGACCCATCAAAACATGTAAACACTGGCCTGTCTCAATATCCCAAACCCTAAGGGTGGCATCTCGAGAACCACTAACAACTCTGTAGGGGGAAAAACAGAAAAAAGAATGTATTAGAATTTTGATATTATGAGAAAACATGATACATAAAAGTCTGTGGTTATTAAAACTTTTTTACCTTTTCTTAAGCAGGAATACCTGTTTTCAAAATAAATACATACTATGTAAAACCTTGATACATAAACATGCAAAAGTTGAGTTACTCTGATTGGGATGGGAAGTTGGAAAGCCTAGAATTCTGCCTGTTTGATTCCTCCACCTATGAGGGACCCAGGAGCACCCTGGGGTCCTGTGGAACAGTTTTAAGACTACTGTACTGTAATTAGAAATGACAAAGAGGAAGGAGAGGAAGACGAAGTCAAAGAAGATAAAGAAGCAGCAGCGGAAGCAGCCAGCTCTAAACACATACAATAAGATCTTGATTTTAGAAATAAAATTTTAGTGTGGGCAATATGTGTAAAATGCTAATGGGTGGTAGTATTTTGAAAAGCTTAAATTTTCTTCTTTATTCTTTCTGTCATTTCCCCCTATTTTAATTATGAGCACAAAGTCCCTTCGTGACTAGGGAAAAAATTCAATAAAGGTTTTTCAACAAAACAAATCAGTATCTGGAATTTAAACAGCTAAACATATGTGCTTTACACCATATACTCTGGTTAAATTAACCAGTTTTAAACACGTCCTCAAACAAAGGCTGCTTATGCTTATATTTAAAAATATTCCGTAGGCTACTGGGGCATTAAGACATACAGATTTTTAGAACATACACATGTAGGGGCAACGGAAATCCCTTAAAACTCTGGCCCAACATTATTCTCTTCCGAAGACCAGAGTGATACAAATATGGCAATCACCTTTGGATTACAAAGGAGAGCTGAAAACTCAGATGTCTTTAATGTCATTCCTAAGAGATTAAGAAAGGCCAGAGTTTCCACCTTTGGAACAGTAGAAAATGGAAGCATTGAGAGATTTAAGTCAGCACATAATGGAAACTGAAATGCAAGGTCTCTTGATACCAATCCCCCCCCCAAATTTTAATAGTAGAGCACACTGTTCAAAGTAGATTCAAATTACAAGTGAGAAGGTACTTTTCTGCACATATTACAAATCTAAAGTGAAATCTGCTAAATGTAATGGTTCTTGATAAAGAAGATGCCATGGACAGAATGAATTAACAGTAAAAACTGGAGTGGATTCACTGTAAGGACCCTTCAGAGAGACCTTTTCTGACAAAGGAGGTAGAAATCACATCTGTTTAACAGGGGTACTGTGAAGACACGCCAATGGAAGATAGAAAGGACTTTAATAGGAGGGCTCTGTAGGAGGAGATAAAAGCAACAGCAAAGATGCTGAGAAGAAAAAGGCAAGCAGTCTGGTTTGGCTTAAACTATTTTGAAAACTGGATTGAGGGTTTCTTCCTTAATTCGGTAGGCAACAGTAGGCTCCCAAAGGGCAGTGGTACTACCGTAATTAGAGGAGGTTCTCTGCAGCTGTGTAAAAGGTGACCAAGTTTGAAAGCTCTGTCAGTAGTTCAGGTGATAGGTAATGAGAGAATAAGTTAAAACCCACAGGCCTCAGCTTTTGCCCAGACACAGGGGATATGATGGAGTGGGGGAAGGGTGGTGGGTAATTAAAAAGACTCAGAGACTTGAAGCCTGAATTACTGAATTTGTCCCACTACTGGAAATATATGCCCCCCCCAATTTTTTTTGAAGATAATGAGTCATCAAAGATTTAGAACAATCAAGTAAGGTGTTAGTCAAGATCAGAGAACAGAGTTTCAAGGTGGAAGCCAACAACACATTAAATGAGCATGGAAATTTAAAGGCAATACCCTACTGCCCAATTTTAAGGCAATACACTACTGCTTTCCTAGCAGAGAAATATCTGAAGTTGAATGATGAGTCTAGTTTAGGAGCATATTATCACTATCTCTCTGTTAGACATAGTAAGTACTGTACAACTGAACTCTATACAAAAGGCCCCAAGTTCACAAGTAACAGAGGAAGAATTCCCAACCCCTACAGGGTTTCCCCTACCTTTTCTCATGGAGATGCATACAACGTACAGTGGAAGTATGCCCATATAAGGTGTGTATACATTCTCCCGTCTCCGCATTCCACACTTTGAGAGTCCGATCTGTAGATCCACTAATAATGATATTGTCTCTCATCTGTGATGACCATACTCCACCTGTGTGTCCCACTAATGTCCTCAGACACTGCAAAAACACTTAAGATGATTACTTTTAGGTAGAAAGAAAAACAATGTAAATAACATTTTAGCAGTTCATTAAAATCTGAAGTAAAGTTATTTACTCAGTTGGAATGTTTGGCATATTAGAAAATAATTTTTCACATCAATATAACATGATCCCATCACTGTGTATTTCTTTGTTTGTTCAGCAGCACTGTATATTATACACACACACACACAGTCGAGGAACAAGTATGTAGACAGTAAACCTTTCTCACTAAAGTATGACAACTCTGGCCTGGCCTCTTTGATAAAATAATACTAAAATTGCAACTTGGTTTCTTCCATGGGAATGGATTCACTGAAAGAATGCCAACAGAGTTGGGTGTGGCTACATTCCACATTTCATCTGAATCTTCCCCAAGGCAGTAGTTAGGGTACTTCTAGGCAAGGTACTTCTAGACAAGTAAAGGCAGACACTAAAACCCTGAAATAAATCCAAAACTAATATTACACTACGGAAATACGAAGCAGTTTTAAAAAAACGTTTACATCTGACTTGGAATATTTAGAAGATTCTTGCCCAAGAATCAACATGTTATAAGACATTTTAAAAGACAGATTTCCCCCTCCCCACACACTTTCTTCTATTCTTTTTTAGGTGGTCAATTACCTAATTCAAGAAAATATTTTCCATTGGACAGAAAAAATAAGTATTCAGTAGAGAACCATTAAAGTATAATATTGTATGAAGTGAAACTGCTTGGACTGCTTTGTTTCCTTCAAACTCCTATTTAAATAACTAGCCTGCTTAACTTCTATCTTACAGGGTTTGAGATAAATCAAAATTAACATGATTTATTTAACTTTTAAACTATAGGTAGGTTATCAACAAAGTTTACAAGGAAAAAATATATCCCTCAGTCATATTTTTGAAAAAGATTAAAAAGGAAGGAGATATAACTTTGATGGTTAATAAAAGTGGGAAAAATTAACCCCCAAAAAAGAAAAAAAAAAGCACATCTGTAAAATCTTAAAATAGCTAAGTCACAAAGATAGACAAACTATTTAAATGAAGAAGAAACTAATGACATCCCTATCATGAGAAACATCATTTTCATGCCAAGAAAAAAGCTGAATTAGAAGCTCTGATATTTGCTATCAAAATAAGCTAGACTCAAAAATGAATCCTTGTTTTCCTTTCACTGGTTGATCCTTGTAAAGGTATGTACCAAATGGTGACTTTACGAAGTGTAGAGAGAAGTACACTTACTTTGCCTGTGACTGCTGACCAAACTTTTAAAGTGTTGTCATCAGAACCACTAACTATTCGGTTACCACAAAACTGTAAGCATGTGATCACATGATCATCATGTCCTTTCAGCACCTACAACATAGATGTACAGATCAGAAGTATGTTACTACATTATGTTTTTTAAAATATTGGTGAAAAGAAAAATGAGGCCATAAATAGCAACAGTAATCCATAGTCTATTTCCAGAGTAAAATTTTGTATAAAATATGAAGCATCCTTCCTGGCAGATGAATTAAGTATTAAACATTTTATTGTTTCCATATTCTATCATTTATACTTGAGACATCAACTATTAAAATTTTACTCAGTCAAGACCTCAAAAATATGGTTCAAACACAAACGTATTTTATAATCATCTATTTTATCTGCTCAAACCAAAAGAATGTGCACTTAAGTTGTGCAATTTTGACACACAAAAACAAAAGTACCTACTAAGTAGAAAGACAATAATCATCGTTTTTAACTTAAAACAAACAAAAAAGCCTGTCATAATGTATACGTTTTAATACAAAATATCTCCCCAAATTGCTTTTTTTCCAGTTGAAAAAAATATAGCTAAGGATTTCAAGTATTTTTGCCATTCTTTATATAATTGAAATGTTATAAGGCAGAAAATCAGAATTATGCTTAAATTTATAAAATTAAAACACACAAAAGCCATCAAAAAACCCCCCAAACATGGGTACTCCTCAAAAAATCATGTTTGGTCAGAGAGGGAGCAAATTCTTAGGTAGTACGTATACGACACAAAATTCAACAGGATATGCAGAAATTTTCATTTACATGCAATAGACAGAACAACACGTAAGTCAATTCGTCTTTTATTCAAGTACAGTTAGTTGTCAGACTAGAGATATTAGCACAGAGGAATACTGTCAGTTACATTTTCAGTTATTTTAAAATATATTGTTTTCTTTCTACAGGACATAGGTTGTCAAGTTATACTACTTGTCAGATATGAAAGAGTACACTACGTACTAACACTGATTAATGGTTTCTGTTACATCATGCAAGAGTTCAGTTACCTTAGGAGATTTGAGTTCTCCTCGCCTCCAGTTAGTATCAATTCTGTGCTGCCTGATGTACGCACTCTTCCATGGACTGTGTATGAAACCTGGTTTTATTACTTTTCTTCTCTTGATGTGCAATGGTTCATCAATACCTAAGGTTTAGAAAATTTAGAGTATAATTGCCTTCACCAATAATACAAATTACACATTTTATAATGCATCTCATTTTCTCCTATGCTGAAAACCACTGAAATGCAGAACACTAATTTCTAACACTGTTATTACGAGACACTAATGTAAATTTGCAATCTGTATGGCATGTTTTCTACTGACTATTTCATTTCTCTCAGAATAATTCTATGAAATGTTGGTGATGATGTGGAGAAATTGGAACCCTTGTGCAATGCTTGTGGGACTATAAAATAATGTAGCTGCTAAGGAAAACAGTATGGTGGTTACTCAAAATAAATTAACCATAAAATTACCATATGATCCAGCAATTCCACTTCTGAACATACACCCAAAAGAACTGAAAGCAGGGACTTGAACAGGTATTTGTACATCCATGCTCGTAGCAGCATTATTTATAACAGCCAAGAGGTGGAAGTAACCCAAGTGTCCACTGATGGATAAATGGAGAAAAAAGTGTGGTATATACATACAATGGAATGTTTAGTCTTAAAAAAGGAGGGAATCCTGATACATTTGGATGAACCTTGAAGACATTATGCTAAGTGAAATAAGACAGTCACAAAAAGACAAATACCGTATGATTCCACTTATATGAGGTCCCTAGAGTCGTCAAATTTATAGAGACAGAAAACAAAATGGTGGTTGCCAGTGCTGCAGGGAAGAGGAATAGGGAGTTACTGTTAAATAGGTATGGAGTTGCAGCTGGGGAAGATGATAAAGTTCTGGAGATGGATGGTGGTGATGGTTCCATAGCAAAGTCAGCGTACTTGATGCCGCTGAACTATACACTTAAAAATGGTGAAAGTGGGCTTCCCTGGTGGCGCAGTGGTTGGGAGTCCGCCTGCCGGTGCAGGGGACACGGGTTTGTGCCCCGGTCCGGGAGGATCCCACATGCCGCGGGGCGGCTGCGCCCGTGAGCCATGGCCGCTGGGCCTGGGCGTCCGGAGCCTGTGCCCCGCAACGGGAGGGGCCGCAGCAGTGAGAGGCCCGAGTACCGCAAAAAATAAAAAAAATTTAAAAAAAAATGGTGAAAGTGATAAATTCTATTTTATGTATAAATTATCACAATTTAAAAAAGTCATTAAAATAATGATTCTATGAGAAGGTAAGGCAGGGAAAATTAATCCCACTTTATATATATCTGAGAAGAGAAGGTTTCACTGAGTAGTCCAAGCCACAGACAGGGCAGAGGCAGGATTAGAAACCAAGTATCCTGGATCTTTCTTTACCTCTCAGCTTTACTAAAGAGAACCTATAGCGCATCTGTCTTACACTCTATGATTCTTTCTTAAAAATTTTGCTTGTTGAAGGCAAATGATATTTTTGCATAATTTTTTTCAAAAGTAATATTTTTCTAGATGCCTGCTGGAAAGAAAAAATGTCCTTTCTTAATATGGATGACACCTACTCCATTACTAGGAAAGGGGATTTTTTTTAAATTTTTAAACAGGTCTCAGAACACAGGCTCCATGGTGGGAAGAAAATGGGACTTTACTACTACATCCCCAGGATTTAAGAATATCTAGCACAAAAGAGGTGCTCAAGAAATATTTGTGGAAGAAATGAATAGACTATAAATATTTGAGTATTTAATTGCTAATTTAATTTGGGGGTTCTCTTTAAATTGTCCTCATCTTGACTTTCTCATTGTTTATTAATTCTACCGGAGACTGGGAAGAAATGAGATATATTCACTATTAGTTACAGTGCTCACTAAAGGGGTTAGTGGCAAGATTTGGCACATCTGAACGTGTGGAATAACCTGTGGATTTTATATAAGTAGGTGAATGTAAATGAAGATGCAGTCTTGATTCTTTGATAGGCTGCCAAAGTTCTTTTTTATTTATCCACCACTTTATTCTATGTGCACATAAAACTTATTGTTTTTCAGAATCACTTTGCTTTTTCGAACTACAAATATTTTCTCTCTGTGATTTTGAACCTTACCCTCTTCTTTACATTTCTCTCTCCAGAGAAGGTTGTCTTCAGCCAAAATTCTCCAGTAGCGACACGTCTGAGCCGCTTGTAGCAGGTCTTTGGGTTCCAGGAATGAAAGCACATAAAGTGCCAGCTATGAAAAGAAAAAGCATAGTATACCATGTGTCTCTTTTTAACTATAAAAAATAAGTTAATTATTCCCTATAGTATAAAGTACTTATAGATAAATGTAATATAATTTTACATTCTAATTTCTAAAATTATTAAAGGCAGTACCTTCTAATATTCAATTTTAACAAATACATACCAGATTTAAAAACACCCTATTGGTTTTTATGAACTTCACCCCACTAACTCCTCACCTCTTCAAGGAATACTTATTAAACCTCTCTGCCTCTTCTCTTGCCTTTGCTCTGTGAACCTCATCTCAAGAATTCTACTATTTATTTATATATTTTTTACTTTATTAGTTGTTTAAATTTTGTCTTTTTCTGTCCTCACTACAATATAATTTCACTTAAGAAATGAGATTCCTGGATACTCTGTGTGGCATAATTTCAGAATCCTTCAGATAGTTAGATATAATTAATAGTTCTTTATCATATCAAACTGTTTATATCACAGTGATGAACTTTTCAAACATTTAATCCTTTACTGTAAATGACAAAAAGGAACAATTATTAAACTGCTTCCTAGACCTATAAAAGTAATTGGGTTCTAATTCCTTTATATTGCTTATGGAGATTTTCTGGATGGGCCAGATAGAGTTGTATATTTGAGCTAAGTCTTTGATATATCACTGATTTAAAAATTTTGTTTCCAATACTTGCAAACCATCAATTTTTCTTCCAGTGTGTAAAGTCAATTCAAATAAATAAAAGAAAAGGAAATAGAAGAAAAAGGAGAACGACAGCTTCTGACTATGCTCGTTCAATTAGCCTCAAAAATCACATAAAAATTTAAATTATATTAGGACAGAATGATCTAAACAGAGCAGTAAAGTTTACTTTTCACATAAACTAAGTTACAAGGATTAAAACAAACTATCATTTGAAGGACCTAGGGTCATACAGGGAGTAAAAAAGCACAATCTGAATTATTTTTTGATGTTAAACAGGAATTACATGAAATAAATTATGCTTTCCCAATGACTTTGTATCAATATATATACAGAGTTCATCATTAATCACATATTTATTGAGTATATTCTATATAGAAAGTACTTCAACCAGTCAGTATTCAACTTAATACTACTATTGACAAATGACAGTGAAGAACTTTTTGTGGAATAATTATTTTTGGTCTATCAGAGAAGACCATTCAGTATTATATACAGAAACTGAGTCATTTAAAATGAAAAGGCATAACTATATTAAACAATCTATATATGCGTGTGTGTTCACACATACATACACATATACAAATATACACATACATACATAACTCAACAATATATTTTTTAAATGGATACCCCATAAACCAATTAATTTTGAAATTATCAATCAATCAAAGCCTGGACAAGTTTGCTTAGTGTCAGTCTAACAGCATACTATTAATCTTCTATGTGAAACTGATATTTAACATAGAAATTATCAGGCAAAAAGTTATATTTGTGGAAAAGAGATGCTAGTTAATGCCCAAGATATTGAGAATGGTCATATGAAAAAGCCTACTCTTATTTTAGCTATCCAGCTGAAGCAGAAATCAGGTAATTTATAGAAATATTAAATGGATCCTAAATGCTAAGAAACAAATCCAGAGCAGGTTAGATTTATCCCCAAATCAACAGGTAAAATTCCTGTCATTACTGGTGATTAAGAGATCATCTAGTCCAGTGTCTGCATGCATTAAAAAGAAATGTAAAGAAACACTCATGTGCTAAAGAAATTTGAAGTGCTAACTCCATAGGTAACTGGCACCCGTTCCTTTAAAACAGCAAAGTCCCTAACTCAACCATAAACTTCAACTTATTAAATGCCATCAAAACATCCCTGTATTATAGAAAATACACATAGCATGGGACTTCTCTCGTGGTCCAGTGGTTGAGAATCTGCCTTCCAATGCAGAGGACAAGCGTTCGATCCCTGGTTGGGGAACTAAACTCCCACATGCCGTGGGGCAACTAAGCCCACGCGCAGCAACTACTGAGCCCGTACACCACTAGAGACCCCGCAAGCCGCAACTACTGAGCCCGTGCACTCTGGAGCCCGCACATCACAACTAGAGAGAAGCCCACGTGCCACAACTAGAGAAGCCCGCATGCTGCAATGAAGATCCCTCATGCCGCAACTAAAACCTGATGCAGCCAAATAAAAATTTTTAAAAAAGAGAAAATATACATAGAAAAATATGAATACGAAAATCAGAACCAGGAAAAATATAAATAGAAAAGGTTTAAACTAGAGGAAAAGTAGAACACAAATATACTGGCAACAGTATTTTCTATGGTTTTTTAATTAGGCTGCCAAGCAAAAAGAAAACAGCAATTAGTTATACCAGTTCCTCAAAGGAAACAAGGTTTTGTCATGTAGGGTTCCTTATAGGGGACAGAGAGTGGGCATTGTCCCAAACTACATCTCTACAATACCACAGAGGGGGTTACGGGTTTCTTGGAGCCAAATCAAATGGTCTAGCTAATGCAGTTTTCTATTAAATTGTATTAAAGGTAAACTCTAGATTAGTAATTCTTCTTAAGGACTACTTCCACACAAGAAAATCTCTTAAATCGAAAATTTATTTCAGATAATTAATTATCTTTTCTTTGGCCAAACTTGTCATTTCAATGAGAGTTGCTGTTTTTTGTTTTTCACTATAACTTATATTGGGTTGGCCAAAAAGTTCATTCTGTTAGTGAATACAGTGTTCAGTAAAATTCTTGGTGAAAATGAAAAAACGTGTCTTTTATTTTTACTTAAAACCGAACAAACATTTTGGCCAACCCAATATAAAAGACCACCGTATTATATTTAAAAAGTAGCTAATACTTTCCCAGAATTGCTATATTTCAGTGGATTGAAATAGTGAAATAGTGAAAGAAAAAGAAAAGAATAAAGAAAATGTTGGCCAATCCTATGTTAAGAATTTAGGTTTTGTTCTAGATCATCATACTCTATCACTATGCTTTTCTTGGCATTTACTTACAAAATAAGGATAGTGCTCTTTATCACAAGTCTCCCATGTGAGACTAGTGAGATTTCTGTCAAGGTTTTTGAGATTAATAAGTAAATGTTGGTAAAGAGCTTTGCAATCTGTTGAAAGGAATTATAAGAAAATTACTATAAGTCCATTTCCTGACACGAAGGTAATACTGTTTTAAATAATGATAGTACTTAGTCTCCAATAAGATGTTAGTTTCCTTAAGGACTTAGATCTATATACCATTATTTCTCTACATATAAAATAAAGCATTTTCAAAAAAGAAAATGTTTTTTCTAGCAGTTAAAACTATATTCAATATCCTTTGATAAACCATAATGGAAAAGCATATGAAGAAGAATGTATATGTATGTATAACTGAGTCACTTTGCTGTATAGTAGTAATTAACAACACTGTAATTCAACTATACTTCAATAGAAAACAAATTTTAAAAGGTGGGGGGACAGGTGCCATGCTAAGTCAGGCTCACTCATTCTATCTAGCAAAGCTTCTTTCCCCTCAGGCAATCTTCAAAGGAACACATAATTCAAGAAAATCTTTACTGCCCTGGCTATGGATAATTTGTACTTAATTTTTAGATTCTTAAGAATACTTTTATATTCTTCTGATTTCAAATCACGTTTTTTTTGTGTGTTACGAAGCTACTATGTAAATCCAAATAAAGAAAAAAACGAAACAAAACAAAAACCTCACAATCTTTAGACATAAGAGGATAAACTAGACTGAGAAAAAGTCTATATTTTAACAAAAATACTACCTTCTAAAATATGAAGGATATCAAGGAAAACTATGAAAAATATATCAAAGGAGAATAAATTCAGTTTCAGTCAAATACTTACAAAAGTGCTTCCTATTATTACCACCCTTCTGGAAGCAAAGAGAGAGAGCTTATGCCACTTTCATAAGCGAAATCTATCCAAAGGGTTCAGTTTTAGAACGAGCCAGCAAGAATAAAGATTTTTTTTTTTTTTCCTGGGACAATGTCATTTTAAAAATCACTCCAAACAAGCAACATCTCAGGAAAAAGATATTTTTTTCCACTTTGCTTTCTCCTGTAGTTATGCTTAATTTTATCCATTAACTATGATGAAACCATTTTATTAATATCCATTGTGAAATTAGTATTGGGACTATCTTTAATGCCCTTAGGATATTTAGCATGGGTATCTGAAAAAAAAAATCAACTTCCTTTCTCTTCAAATTTGAAGTTTCAGGACCATTTGCATTTATATTAACATAAATGGTATTTTATATTGTCTTCTTAGCTGATCTATGTATGATTAGCGGCATATACAAAACTTTTGTGAAAATATAAATCATGGTAACTGATTATTTAATGTTATCTTATTTCTGTTTGGTGACAAAAATGAAACTATGAAGGCTACAACATCAATAAAAGATTACTACATCTAAACTATGTCTCATTTACATAGTCAAGAATGCACATGTGATCATAATCAATCTATGATAAAAAATCAAAGATGTTTTATTTTATATAAAGATATTAAAACAAATGGGCATAAATAATTCTAAAAGAAATACTATAAGAATGTAACTGGTATAGGAAATCTGTGATTGTGTGTGTGTGTGTGTGTGTGTGTGTGTGTGTGTGTGTGTGAGATGCGGCAGAAAGGGGAATGATTTATAGAAGACGATGTACATGTGAAATTCCATATACTTCAAAATAATTACATAATGTAAGTCACGGAGAACTACTATCCAATAGAATCACGAAACTATTAGTCTTGAAGGGACTTAGGATAAACAAAAAACAAAATAAGAAAAAGAATATTGCTGTTTTAATAAAATGAGAATTTAAAAAAATCTACTACTATAAATGAACATACCAAGACAACTAAAGGTTGGACTTCAGATAACCTAGGAAAAAATCTTGGTAAAGAAACAGTCAAATTAATGAAACTCAATAGCTTAGTCTCACATATGACTTATTCCAGTGATGGAAAGAAGACACTTAATCTGTAAGTATGATTTAATCTGAAAATTATATTAAGTCACAGCACCTTATCATTTACAGCCCCCTTTAATACTAATTAAGAGTGTTAAACTGACAATATTGAATACCATAATCAGCATGACAATGTCTAAAGATGGTAGCTGTTGATTTATATTTTCAAATAGCACTAATGAAGAATATAATTGATAATCCTTACCTCTTTAGGGAGCAAGGAAATGAAGTCTCGCTGAAACTGGGGTTCTATCACTTGCATCATATGTTTTACTTGTGTTGGTTCACAACTATCAATAAGTTCATCTAAAGCAAGCAATTTCTCTGGTCCACTCCAGCTCTATCAAAGAGGAATTAGAAATTTTTATCTATTATTTTAATAAATGTCTCAAATTATAAACTCATAAAGGAAAATCCACATCCACACACAACATAAAAAGTGGCTGCTTACAGTAGAAGGCACTGAAGTGACAATCATTTAGTCTCATCAAGTTTATTAGCTACCTTTATTGTGTAAAAGCTTTTTTTAGGTTTGATAGACAGAAAAATATTTTTGCATTGTATTATTATAATTGTTATATGTTCGTCCATCTACCACCAAGATACTGGTTGAGAAACCAAAATTTTATTCAGAAACATCGGTTTGGGCCACTAAGTAAATGAATTTTGACAGATGATTTTCCTTTCTTCCCTTTCTTTCTAGTGGGCACCATAAAACTTGATGGTTTTAGTAAGGCTCTCATCTGAGACTGGCAGCATCAACTAGAGAAAAATTAATAACTGGATAGACTGCACATCTGACAAGTGTCTTCTACAAATTAAAAGGGCTTTGACTTGCTATGTGAAAATAATTTCAAATAAAAAACAGCAAACAGGGCTTCCCTGGTGGCGCAGTGGTTGAGAGTCCGCCTGCCGATGCAGGGGACACGGGTTCGTGACCCGGTCTGGGAAGATCCCACATGCCGCGGAGCGGCTGGGCCCGTGAGCCACGGCCGCTGAGCCTGCGCATCCGGAGCCTGTGCTCCGCAACGGGTGAGACCACAACACTGAGAGGCCCGCGTACCGCAAAAAAATCAAAACAAAACAGCAAACAACAGAAAATGGTAGCTGACTTAATAATAGTAAAATTAGAATATGAACAAAGGCTAAAAGTGGGCAAGAAATAAAGTATATGCTATGGAAAAAAAAACAATTATACCTCAAAAATATGAGCTCCTTTAAACCATACTAAGGGGGTTGTTTCCCCAGTGTGGAACACCTGCACAGAAATGCCATGATTCTTAAAAGGAGAAATTAAAAACCCACATGAATCATTTAAAATGTTAGGACCCCCCCATCACAAAAATCAAGCAAAACATTTAAATAACCTTGAGACACTTAGGTGAAAAAACATCCTTGAGCAAGCTGATATAGTACCTTTGTGAATTATTATGTCCACTTTGGAAGTGGGAGAAGAGAGAATATAGGTGAGGTTTCGAGCTAGAAAGATCTGGATTTTGACATTCCATTTCTTGCTCAAACTAGGAACCTGGATTTTGTAACATGTGAAATAGATAATAGTTGAACCTGAGATACTGAGGACACTGGAAGCCTTATTCAGAATATCAATACTTTTTAAAGTATTTCTTAAAATATTTATCAGAATCTACAATGAAATCTCATCTCTTCTTTCCTATCATAAAGTGTAGACTACACTAATACTAGCGAACATTTCAGTAGTACTTCCACAGTACTACTATGCATGTATATCTCACTTAACCATCATAAAAACCCTGGAGAATATCCCCATTTTACCACCAAATATGAGGAAACAGAGGCTCTAATAAGCTGTGTCCTTTCCTTTTAGTTTGACACATACATATACCCAGAACATTCTCCTTGAGTACTCACTGTGTATCCTTTTTGGTTAGGGTGAGGATTTATACATAGAAGTTAAAAATACTCATATACATGTATATGCACACACATGACCAATTAAAAGCAGCTAATTTGAAGTTTATTTCACTCCATTTCCCTTGCATAGCTTCAAATCCTGGTTCAAAACTTACTACCTCTTTGACAAAACTCATGCTGATCAATCGCCACTCATCCCTGACAGTACCAATGCTATAAACTCTGAGTTATTGATTTATATTCCTCACAGGATTTGAGGTGGGTTTTTATAATATGCTGTTCCTCTCCATCTACATTACAAGAATTCATGGACACTAGTATAAAAACATGCCCATTTTGGGTGATGGATAACTATGCTGACTTGATTAAAATGCAGCTTTAATTAAGACGCTTGACAGAATAATTTTTTTTTTTGCGGTACGCGGGCCTCTCACTGTTGTGGCCTCTCCCGTTGCGGAGCACAGGCTCCGGACGCGCAGGCTCGGTGGCCATGGCTCACGGGCCCAGCCGCTCCGCGGCAAGCGGGATCCTCCCGAACCAGGGCACGAACCCGTGTCCCCTGCATCGGCAGGCGGACTCTCAACCACTGCGCCACCAGGGAAGCCCATGACAGAATAATTTTAATGTAAACTTTTTAATCTCCTTTTCATATATGAATGCCAGCTTTACAGATATTTTGGGAAATATTTGGAAGTATTTATGGTTAAATAAAGATACGTGATCTTCTATGGTAAAAAGATAGGGAAACATCTTTTAACATATTACTATTTATATTACCAATTATAATTTATATTCTATATAATTTATTACTATTCTATATAAATTACAACTATTACGAATATTTCTAATTAAAGGTTAATATACTATACAAGTTTCATGGGTTTTTTTCAGTTAACATATTATTACTGTGTTTAAAAAAGGAAGGAATAGAAAAACAGTATCAATACATGGTATATAACTGCTAACAGATGAAAAAATATCCTTTCAAGGATTTTAGGGGCTGGTGTATAGAATGAAAAAGCCAGAACAGAAGATAAATAATTCAGATCTTAGGTAAATGTTAGAAACTGTGTCAGAAACGTCTATATATTTAAGGCAAAGTCCATGATGAAAATTATGCCCATATAGCAAAATGCTTCTAAGACTTTAAACAATATTTTTATTCTGTTTTAAGATAATATTTAACAAGTTAAATAAAATTTAAATTATATTTCAATTTGAATTATACATATATTCAGCAGATGTTACTTTGTGACATTTTACTGAAAAGTATACAACTGACAAAGATTAGTAACAAGCTGTAATCTACAAAATAAATGAGACTGTTTTCACTGCCCATACATATTTGACAGTCCAATTACTTTAAGTCACATCTCTTAGATGGTTCCAGCAAAGGTCTGGACCATGTAGTCCCTAGCTTTTCTCTCTCCAGCCTGGATTTCTCTCCTGAACTCCAGACCTGTTTATAAAATTGCTTATTCAACATGTATTCTTGAGTATGTAATAGAAACTATATCCATGACCTTTCTCTTCAAATATGCATGTCCACAATCTTCCCTATTTCAGTAAGATGTAACTCTTCTATTAGTTTGTTCAGGCCCAAAGCTCTGGAGTCATCCCCAACTCTCTTACTTTCACCATCAGATAGTTCTGATCCATCAGTGAATTCTAAGGCCTTAAAATTCAAAATATACCCAGAATCTGACTATTACTACATTGGTCTAAGCTACTATTGTCTCTCACCTGGGTTATTCCTATAACCTCTTACCCAGTCTCCCAGCTTCCCACCTTTGCCCTCCTAGTTCTGTTCTCCACAAAGCAGTCAGAGTGACCGTGCTAAAAGTCACTGACTCACTCTTCTGCTTGAAGCCCTCCAGTGGCTTCCCACTTCACTCCAAGTAAAAACCAAAGTCTTCAGGTTGGCCTACAAGGTTCTAATTTCCTATTCCTTGCCCTCGTTTACTCTACTTTAGCCATATATGCTCTTTCTGTGCCTCAAACACACCCAGCATGCTCTGCTTCAGAGCCTTTTCACTTGCTGATCCCTGGACTATTCTTTCC